GTGTATTAGTGAAACAGAACATAGATTTCAAAGTCTGGCTTATTGAAAAAGTATTGAGAATGCTGTTGGGAGCTCACAAGAAAAACAAATAACTTTTTAAATTACTCTTGATTCAAGTACTTTAAGTAATTGCTTCTTGATTGTACATGATGAAACACACAGAGTACATATGTAAACATAAAAGTCCGAAAGAAACTAGCATGTAAGTTAGAGCAGACATTACCTTTCTGGAATTATTTGCAGTGAATAGCAGGAAGCTGCATATTAAATATGTTTCTTAATGACAATGAGGTAGCTGTAGGGAATATGGCCTTTACCACTGGTGTTTCAGACTTTTTCCCTCTCTCAGATGCTTGGCATTCTCCTTGCAGTATTTTTTATGATATGCTTGCCTAGATAGTAACTTCCAAGGATGGTAAAACAGTGTTGGAAATATAGAAACTGTTCTTTTTAGGAAGATAACAAGATTCAAAGCTCTGAGCAGTGTTCTGTGGGAGTAAGGGATAACTCACAGAGGGTAACTTTATTAATAGAATCATAGAATCATTTAGGTTGGAAAAGACTTTTAAGATCATTGAGTACAACCCAAAACACTGCCAAGTCCACCACTAAACCATGTCTTTAAGAGATACATCCAGACGTCTTTTAAATACCTAAGGGTGACTCAAACACTTCCCCGGGTGGCTTATTCCAATGCCTGACAACCCTCTCAGTGAAGTAATTTCTCCTAATACCCAAACTAAACCTTCTCTGGTGCAACTTGAGGCCATTTCCTCTTGTTCTATTTCCTGTCACTTGGGAAAACAGACCAGCCCTCACCACGCTACAACCTCCTTTCAGGTCATGGTTGAGAGTGGTAAGGTCTCTCCTGAGCCTCCTCTTCTCCAGGCTAAATCCCAGTTCCCTCAGCCACTCCTCACAGGACTTGTGCTCCAGACCCTCCACCAGCTCTGTTGCCCTTCTCTGGGCACACTCTGTCACCTCAGTGTCTTTCTTGTAGTGAGAGGCCCAAAAGTGAACACAGGATTAGAGGTGCGGCCTCACCAGTTCCGAGTACAGGGGGACAATCACTGACGTAGTACTGCTGGGCACACTAAGGATGCCATTGGCCTTCTTGGCCACCTGGGCACACTGCTGGCTCATATTCAGCCAGATGTCAACCAACACCCCCAGGTCCTTTTCTGCCTGACAGCTTTCCATCCTCTCATCCCCAAGCCTGTAGCGTTGCAGAGGGTTGTTGGGACCCAGGTACAGGACCCAGCACTTGCCCTTGTTGAACCTCATACAGTGGCCTTGGCCCATTGAACCAGCCTGTCCAGATCCCTCTGTAGAGCCTTCCAACCCTCAAGCAGATCAACATTCATACTAAACCTAATCATCTTAGTCATTAGGGAGAGACAGACAAGCAATACAGATAATTAACCATAATTTAACCACTCTGAATCTTCTTCTGGATGAGTCTTTCTTTCGTCATGCTTTATAGTTTATAAGGGAATTTAGGGAGGCTAGCTTCACTCAGATGCACCGAGACTTTCAGAATATGCTTTCTTCTTTCTGTCTTTCAAAAAATGAACTGTTTGCTTTAATAACTTAATTGAATAGATTTAAGCCCTGAAGTAGAAGAAAAGTATCTTGGTCAGCATCACACGTGGAAATTCAGAGGGATGAGCTAAGTAAAATTCACAACAGTATATTGAGATGCATTATGATAAAAGATGACCCTATTACTAGTTTAGATCTAAAACTTCATGAACTTCATCCATGGGGATATAAAAGGGTGATCGCAAAAAGTGTAGAAAGTAGATAATTAAGAATTTTCATTTTTTAGGATGCAAAGAAGGGCTTGTGAAAAGTTAAACATCCCCCTGTCCTTTAAGCTAACCTAGTTTACCTAATAAAAGGTATTATCTCTACCTTCAAATTTGTTTTACCCCTCCAGAAGCCATGGATGATTTCCCAATGGCTTCATGGAAAGAAGCACCAAATATGAACTAAGGGATTCCTTTCCCCAAATCAGGAATGGCCTTTATGTCAAATTCAGTGGCTGCAACTGTTTAAACTGATGACTAAAATGAAAAAAGTTATATCTGTAGCTCTTGATACATTTTCATTGCATATTTGGCATAAGTGCAAATGAAATTTCATGTTCCATCTACAACTTAAGCACCAAGAACCACCAAAACCAAGGGTACTCTGAATTCTTTTCAGGATATTGAGTCTGTTTTTTCTCTCAGTTTTTAAGTGCCTGGATTCTGACCTATTCAAGTCAGGAGTCCTATTTCAGGGTTAGTAGCTTTGACCTTTATGCATTCCTTTATGAAAACTTTCTGTAATGAGCTCTTGTTTGCCACCACCTGAATAGGAAGTGAGACCTTTGAGATCGATTTCAGACAGCAAGCCTGCTGGCCAGGGATACGTATCTTGTTCTGGCAGACTGCAGCATACTTCAAACTAATTTCTTGTCCATTTCTGAAAGATTCCACTCAATTGAAAAAGATCAGTAAATACTTTTCTAAGCTACAGATTTTGTCAGTGAACGTTTCTTCATTACACTAAGCTACTACTGACTTGTGGAAACTACATATATACTGACTGGACTAAAATAGAAATTCTGAGAATGCAGAACTGTTTTATTTACTTTGCTCTTGAACAACATAATCCAATAATATATCAGGTGGGAGAAATATTTATCTCTATAAGCATCTATATCTATACAAATATTTAAACAATTGCTTAACATCTTCTTGCAACTGATGGCAAAAGTGAGTTTCTTCCCAAGAAGTAGAGGCCTCAAACGAGAATGTGATGTTAAGTTGTAAAGTTAGAGGGATATATACTGGTCTGGATTACACTAATTTTACAGAAGTGTATTTCTGCTAACTTCAGTGCAGATACTTCCCTTTTCATCAGTTTAAGAAAGTTTGGAATCAAACCACAAGCCTTTAATGAGGTTTTAATGATCCACTTGGGGGAGCTAAAGGGTAATTTGTTTCCGAATTGATTATGGCAAAATGTTTGGGAAGCAAAATTAAGTTGCCGAAGACAATGTGAGCAGAGACTTCCACTTTTTTTTTTCAACTCAGTGCTGGCTGTTAATCTATATTAGCTCCTGGAGCAAAGGGTCTCCAGTTCTTAACAAAATTCCAGCCACTTACAGAAAAAAGACTCACAGCTATAAATAGCTTAGCAGCAGACACCCATAATAGCATACTCTGAATTCAATTATACACCTACAATATACATTGAAGGCAACATACATAATGTGTAAGCCAGAGTTTGGTCTTTTGTCCTGGTTTTGGCTGAGATAGAATTATCTTTCTTCCTAATAGCAGGTATAGTGCTGTGTTTTGGATTTAGTATAAGAATAATGTTGATAACACACTGATGTTTTTAGCTGTTGCTAAGTACCTGTAGTGCCTATACTGAGTTGAGGACTGCTCAGTTTCTCATGCTCTGCCAGCGATGAGGTGCACAAGAAGATGGGAAGGGACATAGCCAGGACAGCTGCCCCAAACTGGCCAAAAGGATATTCCCTACCATATAACATCATGCTCAGTATAAAAAACTGGAGTTGGCCAGGGGGCAGGAACCATTGCTCAGGGATGAGCTATCAATCACCATGTGGGGAGCAATTGTTGCAGTGTGCATCACTTATTTCTGTATATTCCTTTATTATTATTTACTCTTCCTCTGCTATTCTATTAAACTGTTTTTATCTCATCACATTAATTTTTTTTTCCAGTTCTCTCCCTGATCTCACCTGGGGGCGGAAGGTGAATGAATGGCTGTGTGATGCTTAGTTTCCAGCTGGGATAAACTATGACATCCTTACTCTTACTCAACAATTTTGTGCTAGATTACATTAACTGTAATGTGACAGCAAGAATTCTAACATGCAATTGTTTTGCCTTTCAGTTAATATGAAATCCCTTTTTTTTTCCCCCTTTCTTTCTTTTCTTTAGATGCTGGTCTTGGGCAATACCTGCTTGTGCCTCATGCACCAGTTACTGTCCTGAAATATGGCTTCACACCATCATTATATTTCCCATTTCTCCAGCCTTGGACACACTGGGAACTGTTTCCCAGTATAAAGCTGTATCAGCTGCTCTATCTTATGCTTGATGGCCTATGGTTACTTATAGCCCTTTGACTGTTCTGGGACTTAGGCACTAATTAGAGGCAGAGATGCAGTATCCCCTGTATTGGAAGGAAAATCACAGACTCTTGTCTGTGAACAGCCAGTAAGATATGACATTGGGCTTTTCCCCATGTAGGAATTGCTCTAAATTCAGATAAACTGACAACACAGTTGATTTCCAAAGTCACAGCAGATCCAAACCTATAATCATCTGCCTTTTATAAAAGGAAACAACACAGTTTCAGACACATAACTTCTATGAAAATTCCATTGGCAAAGCTGTACTGTCAATGTCTTCACTGTAATAGTACAAAACTAATCTAATTCCAAATTACTCTGCCATGCAGTCCACAGTAAAGTTTATGGTTGCTCACATGTGGGCATCTAATTCAACTGATTCATGTAAATAAAGTTTCAAGCAAAAGTGATAATTAAATAAAATATTTTGTTCCTTTAGCATAACTTATTAACTATATTTAAAGTTTCATTATTTCATGTTTAATTTAGTCAGAGCATGTGAAAAAAAAACCCTTTAAGTATCTTTACAAGAAGTACGTTAGGCACTTCAGAAGTAAAGATGTGCCTTGTGACTATAAACTACTAAAATCTATTTTTAAATGTCATTCAGCATCCTGAAGTGGTGACACAATCATGCTGATTGAATACCATGCAAAAGATCATGGAAAATCAAATGGAAGCAAAGGGTACAGCCGACCCAGGTACAGGCATGAAAGCTGTAATCATTAACAGTACTTGACGAGTATTTGTAGTGTAATTTGCTTTTGTGCTTTCTCTTTGTCATGGAATGGCAGGTACTATAATGTATTTAGGAGGAACTACTGCTCTAAATTGATCAACTTACATTAATTAATTCAATCTCCCAGATTTTTTTCACAAGGTCCATCGATGTATAGCCATTAATTAGAAACGATTTGGTATAGTCACCCAGTTCAATGGAATCCAGCCATTCAGCTACAGAGTTGGGGTTGTAGCCATCATGACCAATCTGCTTCATCTGAAAACCAAGAATGAGTAATAATTACTGATAACAATCGTTAAACATCTTTCAAAACAGTAGTTATTTATATTATTATCTTTGGGTCAGAGTTATCCTGTTCTCTGATCAACACTCTTTAAATGATTAGTATAACATGAAACAATTTTGTGAGCAAAATCAGTAATAAAACTTAATCTTCAATGGAACTTTTTCTTACATCTGCTTGCCTTTCAAACCACAGTACACTAAGGTTGTAGCATGAGTTCAGTTCTTACTAGACATTGGAGAACCCGTAAGTGAGGGAAGGCAAAAGAGTGAGAAAGAGACATTATTAATATCCTGACTGCAAAATATGTCAGATTTGCACCTAAGATTTCATAGAAGGGGAAGAAGTTAGACTGAGGAATGGATCTTTTGGTATCAAATTACAAATGAAATGTATTGCCTTGGTTATATTATTCCTATTTTATCTCTCCTAGTAGGTTATCTGATATTTTATAATGGTTGAAGGCATACTGTATCTTTTTGCCCACAGGGGAGGCTTAAAAAAGTCTTCTTCCTCTACCTGGTCACATTTTTCATGGAACTCCTCTCCATTTAATGTATTTTAGATTCTTCTCTGTCTGTAATGTTGCTTGAGATTGGACAATTGAACCAAATATTACTGTAATGGAATTGACAGAATGACGTACACAGAAGCGCACCACCAGCATTCATATAGCAACACAGAGACAGAAAGCATAATCACATAAATCTTGTTTTCATAACTAAGTAAGAAACACCAGTGGCATCTTATTTTTCTGATGTTTGTTAAGTTACTAAGAAGTAAAGAGCTGCAATTTCTCTTTCACAATTGCCTCAGTGACACAAGTGAATAATTTCAAGATAACTATTAAAGATAAAAATGTATAAAGCCTCTACCTGTGCAGCTTGTTACACCATACTCTTTTTATGAATTTTAAAGTAATTTGCAATAGTGGCAGAAGCAGAACAAAGTAGAAAAATTTATGCAACAGCCTCAATTTTCAACAGTATTATACACATATCATCTTTCTGCAGAAGTGTAACTATTGCTAACTCGGTAATACACTGAACTGGTAAACTGTTAAAAAGATTTGAGGTTTAGAAACCTTGTGTTTTGCGCAGGATCTTCTGACTGTGCAACAGAGACACTGTGCATGGTGAAAGCCAGTCTCCCATTTCTCCTGCTTATGTACATTCCTACTTTCTGAGAAATAAGGGAAGTGTGACAGAAGCATAACGCTTTAAGCTTAAGTTTGAAGTGAGTGACAAAGTAATCTAAAAATTAGAGAATTCTGATCTTAATATCTTGCCTGAACCAATTTATTTCTCACAGTTTATTTAAAATACAATTTGATTTCAAAGCAGAGAAAAAAAATAAAGTTTGCATTTGAAAATCACAGCAGTGTTTGTCAATCTGTCTGTTCAAATGCACAAAGTCAGCATGACATGATCTTGATCTCGATTACCTGCAGTATCAAAGAGGAGTGATGCAGGCACACTGCATCATGGTTATGGCAGTTTACTCTTTGGTCTTTTGCTGCAGATGTTGGATATAAAATATTAATGGCAATATTTAAATGATGTAGTGAAATAATTATCTTAAATCATAAAAGAGAGGCAAAAGAAATCACATAATTTACAATGGGAATTACAGCCTTTCAGGTCACTCCTGTAACAAAAGAGTCCTAGAAAGTGAGACTTCAGTTTTGTTGTTGAACTTGACATTTTGGAATTTACTTTCATGATAATTTAGAATGAAAACCTTAGATGTCAAAAGCATGGCCATTGTTTCATTGCCATTCAGACTTACTTCAAATCTTAAACTGACAGTAGTCTGTCCAGCAGACTGCAAAAATGTTGCAGGACCCTGGAAGTTCTGCCTCCTTGGGAGCTTATTTCAAATGAGCTGATTTGAAATGAGATATGCTTAAACAACCAACACTTGAAAAGAAAGGAAACGATAAACTGAAGAAGAAAAATTTAACACAGAGAAGACATGAAGAATATGTAGAGCCCCCACAGGGAACACATGATGTTTGAAAGATATAAGGTATTTTTGTTGCCTTTCACCGACAAAGCAAAGCAGAGCACCTTCAAAACAATTCTCAGTATATCCAGATGGGGCATGTTATGCAAATGATTTCTTTTATTTATTACTATTTGATCTTTATGTTTAATAATTCCCAATTTTAACTCTTTTTTTTTTTTTTTGTCTGGTCTACAATTCTGGTAACCCATCAGCCTCTATAAAAAGCAAACACAGCATGGGAAGTTTCTGAATTCTCAATTCCCACTGGACATATCCGTCAGGAGGGTTGTTAAAATGGATATCACTCTACTACTGTGTGTTGGAAAGGTCTGCAGGCAAGGAAACACAGCTGAACAATCCAATAAGCAAAAGACCAAGAACAACTGAAACCCGTGTGACAATTGCACTCTTTGGATTCGGTGCCAATATACAAAACTGTCACTGGGTCACTCAATAGCCTACCTGAAAACACACTGGCCTGTTGTCGGGCAGCAGCAGGCTCTGCAAGCATTCTCCCTCTCCCTGCCCCAGAGATTTTGGCTGCCTGTGTTCAAGGCCATGTCAGGGATGGTGCAGCCCTGTAGGCTTGGATAAGACCCGTGTGAGAAAGAGCAGTGAGAAGCATGGTTGGGGCTGCTCAACCTTCTGCAGTACCTGCATGTGAGCTGAGGACCATGTCCCTGACACTCAGCCGAGCCGTGCCATAGGTATGTCTGTACCCAGCCATGTACCTTGCTGAGCCTCACCCGCTGACTTGCCCTCCTGAACTGACCTTATCCCAACCTCATCCCTATGGAATTGCCCTGGGACGTGGCTGTCCATGGTCACTGCCACCATCCCTGCCCCTCTGGCCTTGTGCAGGTGCTCCTTGCCTGCCCCACTGTCCCCCCCCCACCTCCCAGTCCACCTGCCCTGGCAGGGCAGCCCCCTCCTGCTGCTCCTGTTGCAGAAAATTAATCTCAGATCTACAATATTTGTCAGCAGTTGCAGCACAAAACCAGTATTTTGTTTTGTCACGAACCAAGAACCAATCTCTTATCTGAAACAGATTTTCTAAAATGTGTCTAATATATGAAAATTAATAAACTTTCAGTATCCATCTTCTGTATGGAAAGTTTTGTTCTGTCAATAACATCAACTAGCTCATTAACTGTCATTCATAGCTGGCTGAATAGTTTCCTTTCAAATATTTATTGATAGGTTGGTTATCTGACAGTATTATTAGTAGTATCTGATTCTCATATAAAATGTTATGGAGTTTTTAAATTTAAAAAACCCCGCTTGAAAATATCTTCCTGGAAGTTCTGCCCCTTTACGTTATTAGAGCTCCAGTTTAGTTGCATCTTATCCAAGTCCTCATTAACTGGTCATGGCTCTTGGACTGTGTGTATGTTTTTTTCCTATACTGCACCACAATCTGAGACTCCTCTCCCAGATCATTTATGCCCTGTAGGCTTCTTTTCTGATGCTATTTGCTGATTGATTCTTTTTTTTTTTTTAAATAAAAGAAGCCTCCAATCTACCGACTGTATTTCAATATTTCAATCATTTGCACCAGTGGTGTCAAACACCTAAGCAGCTATGTGCATGCTGTTTGACTCAGAGCAGTACAGAATCTCTAAGCTTCAAGTCAAGACAGCCTTTCAAATATTAACTGCTCATGAATAGGGGCAGTATTGTTCTTCCACAGACACTGCTGCTAGTTCATCTGATTGTTATTTTAAAGAACAATATCAGTGTGAGCTGTTTCACTGCAGATATTTTAGCACGCTGACTATGGAAAAGGCTAGGAATGAAGCCCATAGGATTTAGAGAAAAAGAAATGTTTAAGAAAATATGATATAAACCAAGCATGGAAGAAGACACAAATCATAGGTTTCTCTCCTAGGTCCTATTGATCTATCACTAGGATCACTTCCTTTGAAATGAATAGAAAGCAGAAGCCAAAAAGAGCTGTTTCTCATAATAAAATAGTAATGCCAAGTAGCATCCTAATGGGTTGAGAAATCCTTTACAGAAAAACATTTGTACATCAGTCTTTTTACAGGTGCATCACTGCTACATCTATACAGTATTTTACATCAGGGTAGAAGCTACTTGAATTTTGTCTCTGAGAGATGGTCAAATAAACATGAACGGAGTTTCAAAGTAATCATATATGCACCAGAAGCATCAAGGTGAATTCAGTAACATGGATTATTTCTGGCTTTCTCTGATCTTCTCAGACAGATGGGGAACTAATGCTATTTTCTCCACAGGTAATATCACTATCTGTTGGATCTCAACACTGTGTGTATTAAAACCAAGCTTTTTATCTGCTGTATAAGGAGAAAAAGATGACTTGACTTTCACAGCTTTTTATATGATTGCTATGATTACAGTGAATTTACGTTTGTGTTGGTTTTCAAGAAAGATCTTTTTAGCAAGCATAGAATGCTTTCTTTTAAACTGCTGCCCTAGCTGAGAGATTTAAGCAGCATTTTTGGGAACTTTTATGAAACAATCAACTACCAATCTGAGTATTTCTGGATGATTGCAATGGGGAACTATCAGTTCTTTTTTATTTTCCCCTCTTTTGAATTGTCTGTTATACATTATGTACTTTACAAATGTGATCAGTTGGACTAATGTTTTGGAAAAGGAGGTCGTTCCTCCTCTGGAGCAGTGAAAGAAAAGGCTCAAGAGAGTGACACTTGTGAAGACCACAGGGCACAGGGGCACCAGGTGGAGTTGCTGCCTGCAGTGCCTGTGCAGAAATTGAGCCTGTGGTCAGGGGCAGAGAAGCAGCTCTCACTGGGGATAAGCACAGCTCCCTAAGGGCCTGAAGATGACTTTGCATTTGCTGCTGTTGAGAAATCCACTGAGTGAAAACACGGACCTGCCTGTCAAGACACAGTGGGTGAGGAAGAGCTGTATATAAACCATTTGGTTTTCTGTTTACCTTGTCACATATTAAAAAAGGTAA